CCACCTCTTCCTCATGATCTTCTCAAGTACGGCTGCCTCCAACCCAGGACACCCAACTATTCCTCCAAAGGGCATCTTAAATGATGAGTTCACGACCCGTTCCACGCTGGCGGCGTTTATGTCATGTCATGTCAGAAGCTTGGTTCCAACGACGGTGTCACTCATACCGGACAGACAGACAGCACGGTCTTATTGCAGCTGTTTGCTGCTGCCTGCCAACTGCCGCAGGGCACTGGGCGGAACCTGAACCCGAATCCAAACTCAGAGACTGTTAGAAAGTTGGCGAAGGTTCACGTCGATCTTCAAGGTCATATTCCGGGTAACCGGTTGCTGAATAAGCGAAACACGTCTTGTACACGTACATAGGATGCCAAAAAATTCGGGGTCTCTTCCATCTGAAGCTATGCCGGTTCCAGCGTCTCAGATCTCGTGCCCTTGCAAGGGTTCGGAGAATGACTGATTGATGCCATGGGCTGATAAGATCTAAAATAAAGCCGGGAGGCAAGGAGGCCAAGGCGACGAACGAGGCGAAACTGATTCATTTCCGATGAATTTTCGAAGGGGCCATGCGACCAGCGACAAATACAATTCTTCGTATACACAAATCGCGACCAATAATACTGATGAAACAGATCAGATCAACAAATCAAAACGCTTTTATTACAGTTTATGACTCGACTGGCTCGTTTCAGCCATCTGATCACGTGAACACGGTTCGGATTTTAGCGGTCAGTCAAAAATAAAATAAAACCAATGAACGATTACCTTAACAAATGCTCATTACAATCGTTCAGCAGCAACAGGAACATGGGTATGACGGCGAAATTAAATAATCGAGTCTGTCGAAACCGAGCAGACCCACGAGGCAGAGGGTGTGATTTCGTCAGACGACGAACCTCCAGCCATTAATGCAATGAAATACGTACGCACGTGATATACGAGTTACCGTGAATACTGTCAATCCGTCCGTACCGATATGGATATAGGCTGAAAGTAATTTAACTGTATTCCAACTATGCCTGCCTATCCCTACATCTAACCAGCATCATCGCTGCCATGGATGTGAGGTAGCTAGTGTCTTAGGCAACAGTATGGTAAAAACAATACTTCTTCGGCTTGGACCGAAAAGCAAGTCGGTTTTAGTCCATGCCAGTATGGACGGATCACCACTCTTGACGATAAAATGCACACCATTGAACCCCATTTCCATCGACTGCTAAACGAATGAACGCATCTTGAAATGTTTTTGTACCGTAGTTGTGTACCCCCTAAAATCGAAGGCAAAGACGACCTCAAAGCTGAAGACGTAACTCAGAAC